AGTTTACCAGCACAAAACATCTCAATTTCGAAAAGTTGGAAAAAAGAACCAAAAAAAAAAGCCATCCCGAACACCCAATAAAACTCAGCCGCACCTCAGCTTTAGCTCTGTTCTTATAACAAACTACTGAAATTACTAAAACTCGACTCGGCTACGCTCGGCCGGTGTCATGCACGATTTGCGAAAAACTTTTTCTGGCAATGACGGGTAAGGCAGCCTCTGGTGAGTGGCAGGGGTTCCGGGTTTCGTTCGAGACAAGGGGAGGAGGTGGGGGAAGGAGGGGGAGTTGAGATGGGTGGATTTAATGGCAATGTGGCGTAGGTCGACCCGTGATTGGGCAGGTTGTGTACACTTGGAGGGCGCAGGTGATGGATGGGAAGAAGCAGGGATTGTGCTGCTCGTTATGCGTTTTTGCCGTGCAGTGCAGCGCTAGAGCGCTGCAACAGGCAGCAAAAACGCATATTGCAACAATCCTGTCAGTGCGTGTATGTGTGTGTGTGTGCGTGCGTGTGTGTGTATGCATGTTCGTGTGTGTGTGTGTGAGTCTGTGTGTGTGTGTGTGTGTTCGTCTGTCTGGGTATTTCAACTCGCTAACCATGCAAGCGTTGAAGCTGAAATTTTGCCAGTGTGTTCCCCAGCCAGGTGCCACCCCAGGATCGTGGTTTCAACCCTCAGTCACGTCTGGGCCCCACGTACGAGCACGTGAAACTTTTGGCGCGAAAATCACTAACTCGAGAACGAGAAAAGCTAGAAAGCTGATAACTTGGGAGAATGTTCCCTACCCATGTATGACAGGAAGATTTCAAATTCAGCTGCCCAGGAGTGCCAGGACCTTACGTGCGAGCACGTGAAAATTTTGACGGGAAAATTCATAACTCGAGAATGAGAAAAGCTAGAAAGTTGAAACTTTGAGGGAATGTTCCATACTCATACACGACCAAAAGTTTTCAAATTCAGATCCTTAGGATCACCAGGGGCTCACGTATGGGCACGTGAAAATTTTGGTGCGAAAATCACTAACCCGAGAACGGGAAAAGTTAGAAAGCTGAAAGTTTAAGGGGATGTCCCCTACTCATGTACGAGCAAAATTAGATGTTTAGAAGCGCCGGAGCTCACATACGAGCGCGTGGAAATTTTGGCGCGAAAATTACTAACCCGGGAACGGGAAAAGCTAGAAAGCTAAAACTTTGAAGGAATGTTCCCTACTCATGTATGACCAAAAGATTTTAAGTTCAGCTCCTCAAAATCGTCCAGTACTCATATACGGGAACGTGAAAATTTTGATGGGAAAACTACTAAGTCAGGAAGGGGAAAAGCTGAAGGCTTTAATTTTAAGGGAATGTTTCCTGCTCATGTGCAACTACAAGATTTTAAACTTAACTCGTCTTGTGTGGTCTTTTTTTGCGGGCAGCAACTTTCCGTTTGTCGGGTCACTGAAGTCGACACCTACAACTGACATACCACATAGTTACAC